GCCGAGCCGCCCGAGGGGGCCGCGCTTCCAGACGAGGCGGGGGCATTGCCGCTCGAAGCCTGGGCGTCGCCAGACGAGGCAGTGGGGGTGGCCGAGGCGTCGCCGTCCTTCTTCTCGCCCTCGGCGGCGGGGGCGGCAGACTCGGAGGCCTGGGCGTCGCCAGACGACTCGGTGGGGGTGGCCGCGGCCGCGCCGCCGCCATTCTCCTTGGCCGAGGCGGCAGACTGGGAGGCGATGATCGATTCGGCGATGGCGTCGGCCGCAGTGCCCGTCGGGATCTCGGTCGAGCCCTTCGCGACACTCTCCTGGATCTGCTTGCAGCCGTTCTTGAACTCCTCCGTGTCCGCCTTGGCGCAGGTGAGGCACTTGATGACAGTGTCGGGGTCCTGCGGGGTCAGTCGCGCACGACATCAGGGCTACTCACGGTGCAGAGCTCGACGAGACACGTCAGGTCGGCCTTGGCGCACTTGCTCTGGAACTTGAGCATGCCGATGCAGTCACCTTGGCACTCGGTGGGGATCTCGGGCTGCTTCCAGAGCGGCTTGTCCTGGGCGACAACGGCGACGGCTGCAGGTTAGTCGGGCTCTCCCTCTGCGGCGGTTGGCCTGTGTCGGGGACTCACCGAGGGCGGCTGATGTCAGCGCTGTCTCTCACTCAGCAATGCTTGGACTTACAAACGGCAGCGAGGGTCTTGAACATGGTGGGCAGTTCTAGCAGTAGAGGGTGAAGGGGGATCGCCCTCGTGCTCAGCGAGGCCTTTTAAGCATCTTGGAATCACTTCGGTCTGAGGATTGTGGGTCGACCTGTCAACCTCTGTCCTCCCTTTCCGCCGAGACTCTCCTCAGATACGCGGCCCTCTGACACCGTGTGCCTGCAGCTGGGCCGCGGGCCGGCCAACCTGCCGGAAAGTGCCTTGCAGCACGCGCTGTACTCGCCGTTTGCAGCTCGTCCAGCACGTCCAGCTCGTCCGTCGGATTCACGTCCAGGGCCGAAGGGTCGGGAGGGGGGATGATGTACGTCTCGGCAACGGAGGGTCCGCGGAGGGGCACCGCAGGATTGGTACGCGCGGCGAATGGGAACCATCCGAAGGATGAAACAGAGTTACGCTGCAGGGCACGTCGCCTCGTGATGTGCAGGCGCGTCCAGGCGCATTTGCAGCTTGAAGAAGCAAAGGTGGGTGAAGGAGGAAGGACGAACCTACTCTCGCTAGACGCAACCTTGTCTCATGCCTTTCAGCCAGGTTCAAGGGCTGATTGTCCGCGGGACGGACAGGAACAAAGAGAGGAACGTGGACAGAACCCACAATGCGATCAACTGAAACTGGGTCCATTCACCTCTGCCAGTGAGAAGAGTGAGATGGACGCATTTAATCTCCCATGTAACTTGCACTAGACGAACTGTGCTGACGCGAGAAGGACAACTGTGAAGGCAGCGACAAGACGTTCGAGTGTGAAGTGCGGACCGACCTTGGCCGAGCTTAATTGCTACAGAGGAATTTAGGATCGGCTTCATCCTGCAGGGTGTGCACAAGTGACGGAATGAACTCAGGGCATCCGTTGCGATTCATGAGGCGTCGCAGGTCTCTGGCCGGGAAGGACCTCCTCCTCTTCAGCAAGAAGCTGGGAATGCTGGGACGTGCACGAATGTGGAGATGCCTTGGCCGGTGCGGTACAGCTTTCGGGCTCGCGGGTCTGATGGCGTCTGGCGCCTCCAGGGGGACTGAGTGAACCGAAACCGTCACGGCGAGATGCCAGACGTCCAAGCACCTGAACACCATATGACACCATCAACGACACACCTGTCTTACCCAGGTCCAGGACGGATGCCGATCCTTTCCCGCTCTAAAGCACAAGTGTCGAAGCTGATTAATACGCTGACATCTCCGATGTTGTGACCCGAGTGGCTGAAAGCTTGATTGACGACTGCGCTGCAGGTGCAACAGCGGCCCGAGGCATTCGGCGCATCAATTCGCTTGAGACTCATTGCGCATTCAGGCGTCACCACGTTCGTCCCCGCTCCTCTTAACGGGCAAGTATCCCATCCCTCATGTTCGCACTAATCAATCACTGAGCCGTTCGATGACTCCGAAGGCCACACATTCTCGCGAGGTGGTCTGCGGCCCAGCTTCGGCACATCGGCTCCGTCGGTGCAGCGGAAGCTGCTGCTTGGGATGGTGGATGTGAGCCTGACGGCGTGAACAAAGATCGCAAGACTTTCGAGTGCCGAGTCCTCTCGGAGTGTGACGACCGCCCTCCGCCAGCTCTCGCCGATGACACGGCATAGCCTCGGGACGCACGGCGCGGCGATCGGTCGCCAGACGGCGACTCCGGCCCAGAATCGAACGCATCAAGCTCTCGGGACAAGCTTTAAGCACCACTTCCAGCATCCTCCGATGGCGGCAAGGTTCGTACCTGTCCGCGATAAGCACCCTAAGCGCGTCCTTCTGTCAGTCACACTTCGTAAGTCCAGCGCTGCGCAGTCGGCCGCCCACCGCTTGGTACGAGCGGCTCGGGTGGTGAATGTTGGAAGTGCACCGACGTTCAGGCATTCTCGGAACGCAGAGTAAGTCCATATTATAACCAGTACTACTGTCCTTGGTAATTTATGTTCGTCGACCGGTCAGATGAAGGCGGCAAGGGCCACAGCTGCTCCCAGCAGCGCCGAACCAGGGATGGAGCGGGAAGCAGCGGAGCCATCGTGAGCAGTCTCGCCGGGAGCCGCAGCCGACCTGTAGTAATCCGAAGGCCGCACGAGCGTCGTGGGCGAGTAGCGCGGGATGCTCTTCATTTCGTGTTCCTCGAGGGTCCTGCTGGTCGTACTGGCGCTGGAGCTGGTGCTGGCGCTGGGCGACGCGGTTCCGGTCTCGAGGTCGTCGGTGCTGGTCAAGGTCGCGGTCAAAGTACGGGTGCTAGTGGCGCTGCTGGTAGTAGAGGAGATCTCATCTTCGGACGAGGTGCTGGAGGCGGACAGGCTGGAGGAGGACGACAAGCTGGAGAGGGACACCGCCGACGAAGAGGCGACGGCGCACTCCGCCCTCAACGCAGTGAAGGTGACAGAGTACGCTTCCAGACAGCTGACGCACGCTTGCATGTCGGGGTCGACCAGGATCTTGGAGTTAGCCTGCCGATGGGGATATCAGGAACGACTCACGGGACAGACGGCGGTGAGACATCCAGTGGTGAAACCCGCAGCGGTCGATGTTGCGCACTCAGGCGTTTCCACGGGTCCTCCGCTGGCCTCGCAGATGGCACCGCACACCTCCTCGGCGTCGGAGAACTGGCGACGCTCGAGGGTGCGCAGGAGGAGAACTGAGGTTAGCTCTACTGACGCACTGACTTCGCCGCCGCTTGGGATCGCGTTGACCCAGCAGGCGTCAAGGGGAACACGCACGAACGCCTGAGGTCAGCAAGCTAAGATTACGGAGCGGGCTCACCAGAAGCGAAAGACACACGCATGTTGATGTCTCGGTGGTGGACGGTGAAGACAGACGGGCACTGGTGACAGAGAAGAAAGAAGAGACATCAAAGTCGACGGCGGACGGTATAGGACGGCATGGCGAACACACTGGCATCTGTGCGGTGCAAGAGTGCGCATGGAGCGAGGGAGGCGAGGGCCGGGCGAGGGTAGACTCAAGGCGAGGACAGGCCGCATGCATGGTCCGCGTGCACGACGCCGTCTGTCCAGACGTCCGCACCTAGCGCTTGGCACACCACACGGGTGACAGAAGTGGAGTAGCTGCAAGCCGGGCCGTGCCGTCGGGTTTGCACCTGAGCCGGTAGCATACCGCTGGTGTGCGAAGCTCACGGCAACCGAGCAACGCTCACAGAGAACGACGTGCCGGGGATTCGACCAAAAATGAGTACTGCACGTTATGCATAACAAGAAGGGGGTGGCCACCAGGGTGAAGCAAGGGGCGTAAGACGTAAGGGAAGACGTGAAGATGACAGGGCTACAGCTTAGGGTTTAGAAGTAGAGCGCGGCGCCGAGGAGAGGGAGAGCGACCGACGCGAGGACAGGCATGGTGCGGCCCGCGCCCGAGGTGCCGCTGGCACTGGCAGACGCCGAGGTCTTGGACGTGGGGGAGCTCGAGCGCGAGATGGAGCCAGCGCTGCCAGCAGCGGCTCCGGCACCGGCGCCGGCGCCGGCGCCAGTT